AAAAAAAAAGAGGTGGTGTGAATAAATGAATGAATGACCAACACAACAACCACTGACATCAACAGAGAATCGGTATCATTAGTGAATTATGGAATTGTAAAAATTGGGAAAACTTTCCGGAAAAATTGGCCATAGGGTTTTTTAAATCTAATAAAATTTCTTAATATAATTCTCACTTTTGTTCACCTTTTTAAAAAATAAATATTTAAAAAAAATCTTGATAATATTATCATCACGATCATGATATTACGATAAGAAGGGAATTTTGTTTGTTTGTTTGTTTTTTCGATAACAACAACAACAACAAACCTCAGAAACCTTTTCTTTAAAAAGTATGGAATGATGATCAGTATGATTTGAAGATTTGAATAAAACATGAGTCAAACGAATCATCATCTTCATATTTTTTTATAAAATTTCATTTCAAAAATAAAATAATAAAATTGAGAAACGAATTTCTGTGATTGAATTTTTGCTGGTAAAACTTTCTCTTCCCTCTCTGTTTTCTATAAATATGAACCAAACAAACGATACACACAATGAATGATGACAGCAAACGTCAATTCTTTCAATTCGTTACTTCAATGAAAAAAAAAACATTCAAACAAACAATAAGAAGAAGAAAGAAAAAAATATCAAAAGAGTTTATCGATTTTTATATAGTGGGTGGAAAAATAGTGGGCTATTCAAATATTCAATATTTGATTTTTGATTTTCAGTAAAAAAAATCGATTTTTTCTTAAAAAAAAAAAATCAAAATTGGATAATTGTATTGCGTGGTGTGTGTTTGAAGATACAATTATCTTCACTCGGAGTAAAGGCAAGAAAGAAAAATTCAAATCGATCATCGATTGATTGATTGTTTGTTTTTCGGTCGGTCGATAGCGATATTGATATTCGGTAAATCTTTTTTTATTTGAATTTCTTTAAAAAAAACATTCAAATAAAGAAAATTTCCATCAAAAATGTAGATCAATTTCAATGTCCAATTTTGTTGAAAAA